GTTGTGTAGGGTGTAGGCATACCAACTTGAACACTGAGGAAGCCATATCAAAATTCCTGTTGAATTGTTCATTCAGGGATTCATTGCAGAATTAAAACCAGCTTGAAATGGTATTTTGGTCTGTTACTCCTTTTTATTTTAGTTGTTGTTACCTTGTAGGTGGTTGTACTGTTAAGTAACTTGAAAAATAACCATAATAACTGACATGAATAAATATCGTCTATCGTGATACTGCTTGAAAAATATCGTGATATTATCTTTTTCAATATCGCCCACCCCTACCTAGTACATGGTCATTAGTAGATGGCCCTTCAATCTCTTCTTGTTTGTTAAAGTCGGCATCATGTAATTTGCGCTGACGGGTCCACACACTGCTTCCCCGCAGCGAGGCTCCCTCTGCCCTCCTGTTGACAGTTCAAGAGCGTTGAGCTCCTCACCCCCCCATTGAGAATACACGATCGTCGGCACGCTGATAAAACATTATTTATTTTTTGAATGGGACTTCATATCAAAAAGGTTGCCGACCCCTGGTGTAGAGTAACGTTTGTCTGTTCGTTTGTCTCGCTCAGGGAGGTGAAAACATCAAGGGGGGAGGTGATCAGCAACAAGGACCTGGAGCTTTTACTGGATCGCAGCGACATGCTGGGTGAGGAGAAACACCACTACACAGGTCAAACTCTTGTCGTTATTTCAGAGGATAATATGAGAGTGATTATTAAAATATGATCATGCAAAAGCACTTCAGTAGGCACAATGTTCAATTATAAGTTGAATATCTCAAACATGCTGTTGGGCCAAATACACTAAGGTGATCAATATGATTGAATGCTAAGAATCTATTATCTTACTATCACAACGACACTGAAAGTTGTCAATAATCAGCGAATACAGAATGTCTAATGTATCCATTTAATAAAGTAGAAATGTTTTAAAGGCCTTTATGCTGCTTAGGCCCTTTGGTGCCGAGTTAAGCAGAAAATGTGACACATTAAAATCAAAATGTCCGTAGTTGTGGTGCAGAAAATATTGTCGTCCCAACAAAGAGTTTTTTCATTTAGTCATTTTAAGATGTCAGTGTTTTCATCATATCAGAAGAAAATTATATTTACCCATTTCTAAGAACCAAATTGAACAGAAAACCACTGATCAACATTCTGCGCTTGCAAAGTAAAGAAATTCTATTAAGAAAATTGTAATGACAGAAATGTGCTTTTCAAAACTTCGGGTTTGTACAGGGTCAGTCTCCCCGGTCAGTGATCTGTTTTTAAATGGAAAACCATAAGATAAGATGGACCTTTATTAATCCCCGTGGGGAAATTCAGTTGTACATGCAGCAACAGGGTAAGCGTGAAAAACAGGAGAGCACAGATTCACACAGATTAAAAAAATCAAGAACAATTAAAATGATGATGATAATAATAATAAAAGACTATGAAATAGGAGATGAGTAAAATAACTGTCAGCATATATACATATTTGGTGATATAAATTATGAAGTACGAAATGAGTTAAAGTGACAAGTGAAAATGGACATCTGTACATATAGTGACATATCTATCTAACTTTAATAACCTAAATATTAATAGCTGGTGTCGAGAGCTGTGCCGCACTACGTAGTGTAAACATTACTACTGCCACCTTATGTTTGTGCTGATCAGTTTCAAAAGAGGACCTGATGTGTAACGGAGGGTTTTCTAAGGCGCCATGTGTAAAGACTTTAATGTTGGTCATTAGGGTGATGTGAACCTTTCTAAATGTGTCATGTTTGCATTGTCCCTTTTTTTTTAATTTACTGTCTTCGTATTTAGCCATTGTTTTTTCTAGTGAGCTGAAGTAAAGTTTTTTTTTCTCTGTACTTTCAGACAAAGGGAAGGGGAGCATGAAGAAAGAGAAGGGGGGGGTGTTCAGAGTGATGGATGCTGAAGACTCTTCAGAGATCCCTTTGATCTGAAAACACCTGCAAGCTATTAAAGAAAAACTAAAGTTGCACCTAGATGGCTCTTAACCGCCGTCCCTTCCTAAAACTACTGTCTGCAGACAGTATTGTTTTCCTTTTTGACCTGCCTTGATAGTCCTCAGTCATGGTCTTTTTTTGTAAACCACTACCCTTTTAATAACTATCATTTGGGATTTTGTTGGCTGTCAATGACAGTTGAGTATTTGCATGTGAAAACATGGTACAGTTGGCTTTTCTTGCTGGCAGTTCATCAAGACTATCAGAAGAAACAAAGTTTCATTAAAAGCAGTACAACTGTTCACAAGGTCTGTGCATCTTTTTCACAAGACAAAGCTGTTTTAGTCCTTGATTTTCTTTTGGCCATTCATAACAGATCTTTAACAATGTTTTAATCAAAGCACTTTCCTGTAGCTTAAGAGTACAACAATTAAAATAAAATGATTTGCTTACTTTATATTGTGTATTTTTTTCAAAGCATTTGCTGAATAACATTGTATCAAGTTGCCACTTTCTGGGTAGAATTTTGCTTGACCATTTCAAGATCATGCCATGTTCCAAAACATTTAATAAGTTACCTTTACATATTGGCAATTGCGCTTTAGCTATGTGGTCAGATCATTCTTGAATCAAATAAATGCTTGCAGAAGGATTTACAAAATGTAATTTGGGATTTATATAAAGATATCGTCAACAAAAAAATATTTTTCAAAATGCGCATAAACATTAAATGTTTTATATAAATGAAGAAAAAAATCCATATATTGCACAAATATATTTTTGATCCACACATTAATATTTATTTTAAATAAACATCCATGAATATATATTTTTAAAAGTGTTCACAAATTTCATCCAACCCATAGTGTTACACCTGCAGGAGCTTTTATCCCGTTCCAATGTAGGCATCAATAGGAAGTTGGTCCCCCCTTTTGCAGCTTCCACTCTTCTTTTAGTGGTTGATCCTTTGTACGGTCCCATATGCTTTGAATTTTCGTTTCAGGCCCGGTCATGATACAATAGAGCCGAAACAGGAAGTCCTTGTCTCTGTGAGAGCCTGTGACAGTGGGGCAGGGTGTGGCCGCACTCTGTGCCCTGCTCGGTGTTCATGCGTTCATACACTCCTTGATCACTCGGGACTAACTGCAGCAGTAGCTCAGCTTTTTAACTCAGACTGCTAAATGTGGATTTAAGACTTCTCTTCACAAAGGTTTGGTTTATATTGTGGTAAGGTGAAATGTCAATTAAAAAAATCTCATTTTATTTACAAGTTTTCTTTTTTAAAAAGCATACTTTTTACAGAAGCTAAAACATTTAGGATAAATTAATACCGGAATTAAATTCTGTCACCACAGCTGGAATTAAAAGACCGGCAGTAGTTTTTGTCATTTACCCATACTATCCTATCTATGGATCGTCTGAAGTTAGTCCTGCAGTACTTTCAGTCCAATTCTGAGTCAATTTCCAATGGTATCTGTATTATCCTGGCCCTGGTCAGTGTCAAGCTGTACACCAGCTTTGACTTTAACTGCCCATGCCTTCCTCAGTACAACAAGCTGTACTCTCTAGGTGTGATGATTGTGCCCCCCATCATACTCTTTTTCCTGGGAGTCCTAGTCAACAGACATACAGGAGTCATGATGGAGGAGTGGATGAGACCCACTGGGAACAGATCTAAAAATCCTGCTGTGGTAAAGTGAGTCAAGGTTTTACTAAAACACTTAGTGGATTGTTTTCCTAATCAAATCCCTGTAACTAGTATCCTTTCAAGGTCATGTTGTTTGGATGTACTTATTACTCTTACTCTTTTGAGGGCATAGTAGTAAACTGAACAATACCATTGGTACATGTTGACATTTCTTATTGATTTTCATTAATCAATCTTGTCATATACATATAATACAGAGCTAGAGTTGCAGTGATTGAGAGATCACTTAAATATATATAAATGACCTCTTCAACTATTAAGTAAGTCATTGATTTGGTAAATATTCTTGAAGATCTATGAAACTTTTAGATCTTTTAAAATATATACTGCAAAAGTTAATGAGTATGCAATAAGGTTTACTCTTAGACCTCTAAAATGAATTAGTCTCTGTTAATCATGTTTCTTTGCTGGAGTCAACAAGAAACGTCAACATATAGTTCAAAGATTTCTCTGTCAATCTCAACAATTAAGCTGTTTCAATATTTGAAAGTCATGTAATAATAGAATTTGTCACTTTGTTTACAAAGTTCTGTGTCCACGAAAGGGATAAATCAGTCCTTGTTCAGGCCAAGACGAGAGGGAGGGAAACCAGGAGGCACAATAAGCATTTGGGATTAAATTAAACTAATGTCTTCCTGCAGGTACCTGTTCTCAGCCATGATACAGAGGGCCTTGCTGGCCCCCATGGTGTGGATCCTGGTCACTCTGCTGGATGGAAAGATCTTCATCTGTGCCTTTAGTGTTAGTGTAGACCCTGCACTCTTCTCAGGTATCAGTAACATTCTACATAGCGAACACATATTTAATTAAAACTGCAGTCACAGACGTGCACGCAGTTGTGGGCCTGTCGGGGAGGGTCGCCGGGCGAGTCCTCCGAAATGAGCCGTTCGTAATTTCTCAAACGTTCGCGTCCCGGACTCCCAGGTCTTCCGGCAGCGACCGGGAAATGTATATGTTTTAATACTACTGCTTTAATTCTGAGCCAACATTTACAGTGAGAACAGCTGTGAGAACAGCTGCTGAGGCCAGTGCAGAAAGCAGAACAGTGTGTATAATATATATATCTCTCAATAATATAAGTAACAGGCCTGCATTACACACTTTATTTGTATGCTTTAGTAGATATCTACAAATAAGCAGTTGATATTTTTCATGAAACCAAATAGTGCTTCACATCATAACATGGGCTGTAGCCTGATATGTATTATATGCTTTAAGAGCTGTATGTGTGTGTTATGGAGTCTATTTAACATGATATTGGATATGGGCTGAACTTGTCCTGGACTGGAATTTTTCCGATCTTTTCCCGAGGAGGTGTTTGGGAAAATGCGCCTAAAATGCATGAATAACGCCGATTTTTCAAAATGGCCAACTTTCTGGGGGGCGGGGCTAATGGAAGCCATTTTGAAATATGTCCGCAATTCCATCAGTAATGTCTGTGGCAAGATTCGGGTAGTTTGGAGAAACTATATGCGACTATCGCACAATAGGGGGCGCTACTGAGCTGGTGTACAAAAACGTACGATTTTTTTGTACAGTCTGGAAAAGGTCGTGGGCTGTGACGTGTGTCCCAAGTTTCGCGTCCGAAGGTCATTGTAGCGAATTTGTGACATTAAAATAGTCAAAAATTGTACATTCTCCGTCAGCTTACGAGCTCCCCGTTTGAGCAGTGAACTATTCATTTGCAATTTAGCATCCCATTGGATATGGGCTGATGTTGTCCTGGTTTGGAATTTTTACGATAATTTCCCTAGGAGAAGTTTGCAAAAAGGTCTTTGCAGCAGGTCACCATTGAAAGAGGTCAATGATCTCAATGGGTTTTCACCTGAATAAATAAAGGTTTTGAATTGAAAAACGCCCATGAAACGCACATTTTTCAAAAATTGCCAACTTTATGGGGGGCAGGGATATTGGAAGCCATTTTGAAATATGTCCGCAATTCCATGAGGAATGTCTGTGCCAAGTTTTGGGTAGTTCGGAGAAACTATAATTGACTACCGCACAATAGGGGGCGCTACTGAGCCGTATTTGCTAAAACGTACGATTTTTTTGTACAGTCTGGAAAACGTTGTGGGCTGTGACATGTGTTCCAAGTTTAAAGGCCGTAACTCATTGTTTCCCCTACTTATGGCTCGGTAAGTGTTTTTAACCCTTCGATTTCGAGAAAAAACTGAAGAGGACACACCCACATTTTTCATTTAAATCTCAGTTTATACTCACCTGCCAGTATGTCTATGACAAAATATATTTATTTCGTCCATCGGTTCTTGAGATATAAATTTGTTGTGTTTTTGGCGCCCCCTATTGTCCGAAATGAACATGCTTTTTTGTGCCTATTCCCCAAGACAAACTGAACCTATCCACCGAAATCTGTGATATTTGGATACATTTTGGATGAATTGTGAGCATTTATGTCTAAGCCACACCTTTTTGCTAATACGTTTTGATTGATGTCGGCCACAATTTTCCACATCTCGTGCTCATTTTCTGCGGTAATGTGTCTGACCCTTCACTGATGCTGTGCACTAAGTTTGGTGTGGAAAATCTAAAAATGTAAGTTAATATTTCACTGTTTTTGACATTATGCTAATTAAAAAAAAT